GCGCTCGGATGTATCACATGTGGTAACACATGCCAACAGCAACCATCCAGTGGCCTTTTCGAAGGACTGCTTAGAGGTAACTTCGTCGTTGATTTCAAACATTACAGGGAATTACAACCTCAGCGGTTTCCCTGACAGTGGGGCCATCGTGGCCGCCAACAGCAACCAGCCGATCGCCTACCACCGTGACCCCTGCACCAGAGCGATTCTGGAGTAACGATGGTCCTGGACGCCATCTGTTTGCACGTGGTTCGTAAATTTCAACAGTATCCAAGCAGTTTCTCGTATTCCCATCATAACCACCAACCGCGTACACCAGACCACCAAGCGCTGCAACACCAACCGACGATCGCCTTACAGTCATTGACGGAAGTGGCATCCACTGGTCTGAAAAAAGAAAAAAAAAGACACAGCGACGTCCCGCATCACATAGATCTCAGATGCATTTTACATGTAATTCTCGTAATATGCGCCGCACATTAATGAAAAATTTCGAAAACCTTCTCCGTATTCGCTTACTGAAAGGCGGAAATTATGGTAACAGACTTGCACAGACCTGTTGTAAATTACCGCATTTTTGCTATGTAGGATGCTTAATGCATGTTGCGAGAATGGCTTGTTAAAAAAAACACAAATGGATCATTTATAAATGCGGATATGTATTTTAAATATGTTTTTGTGCAGTCGATTTGAAAAAAATTTTTTTTTTTGTAAAATTGGTAGCAACCCCCCTACCCTATGTGTACAGACACAGTATACCAGAACCAATTTTACCGTCGAAACCAAAAAAACCAGGCTGAAGAGGGAATGCTTTTTTCGGTACAACTTACGATAAGACATTATTTAGCGCTTCACCACGCCTAACCACCAGCGACAATCTACTTCAGATGACGAAAAGTACCTTGACGAGCATCGAACGCTTCAGCGGAACTTAGCCCTGTTGCGCCATCGAAACCGCCCACTGCAACAATCAGCTGATCCACCACTGCAACACCCAACGTGCTACGTCTGCAAATCACTTCTATCACAAACTAGGTTACTATAAAAGAGACGAAATCCTATGAATCATTTCCATATTTTCGCATTTTCAGCCTCTTTTCGTCATTACCATTTCTCATGTACCGGAACGATCCACATATTTCACACAATTTCTACTTTAAAGTATGCATGAAAATCTTCGGAACTAAAAAAATGGAATTAAAAACGTTGAAGCTTTCTAAGAGATGCTTTAGCTTTCTTGCAGACAGATTCACTCCGCTCAATACCCGACAGTTTGAGGGGAA